CTTTAAAGGATCAGGCTATGTGTCCATGTAGCCCACGTTGACCTCAAACTCAATGCTTCTGCCTCCATCGCTCCTGTACTGGGATCACCCTATGTAGCACCACACCTGACTAAGTTTCTTCTAAACGAATACTTCACTTTTCATCATCGGTTGGGTTGCCTGTATTGGGGGTCGGGGAGAAGCACCTCTTTCCTAGTGTCTGCTCATCACTGATCAGGCAGCACAATTGTTCTTGACCATTCACAGTGGTGGCTGCTGTTCTGACCCTATTCCCGCACTCCACAGTTGTTCCCGCCTTAGTGCCCCCTGCACAGGCAGAGTGACGTGATGGCTGATTCCTTGAGTCACAGAGGCAGTCAGCCGGCAATCTCAGCACAAACTCAGGGCAGGCGGATCCCCCCGAGAAGAGGGGCTCACTCAGATCCAAGCCCTGATTTGTTTCTTGGAGGTAAACACTGGGAGCCAGGGGGCGAGTTCTCTGTCCTGTAAACACACATCCCCCTGAGGCAGCGGAGCTCATGGTTGTGCATCTGCTGTTTGACTTACTTGGGAACAGGGAGGGAATGAGTCGTGAGATGTTGTAATTCAACAGCCTTCTTTGGTCAGCAGCCAGGTAAATAACACAATGCTCTGTTACTGAAATGTTGAAATGACAAATCAATACTCACTTCAAATCACTGCTCACTTGCTCTACATGCAAAGCAGTGCTTAATCAGAGATGCAGCAGCCACTGAGTTTGGCTCGAGCTTTCTGTCCTCTCTCTGGAGTGATAGGCTTGAGTGCATTTATGTGCCCCAAGTGGGGATGCTGGGTGGATCCCGCCTGGAGCCTGGGGGTGAGAGGAGGCCTCCAAAGCAGTCAGAGGACTGCTATTTGGTTGCTGGCTAGTCGTCAGGCAGCGGGCTGGATTGGTAGAAGACAGTGATGCGGAAGCTGATAATCTCCTTTGCTGTTTTGGTCTTAGCCTCAGTTTGGCTGCATGTAAGTCAGGACTGGCAGATAGGGCACACCTCCCTTTCATCCAATGTCTATTATAAGTAGTCACCATGACACTCTTTCTTACTGAGCCCATAAGGAACCCCGGAGTCCTTCTAAACGCCAAGTAGCAATAACCAGTGTTCTAGGCAGCTGACTTGAGAGAGGAAAAGTCTTCTGTGTGTATGTGCATGCATTTGTGTATGTGTGCACATGTGTGTGCAGGTGTTCATGCATGTGTTTTCACATGTGTGTAAAGGTCAGAGGTCAGCATTGGGTGCCATTCCTCAGTTGCCATCCACCTTGTTTTATGAGGCAAGGTCTCTCACTGGGATCTGAGGCTTGCCCACTACGCTAGGCTGGCCGGCTGGTGAACTCTAGGGATCCATCCATTTCCAAGTCTTCAGTTGGGATTATAAGTGCATGACATTTGCACACACTGCTTTTCACATGAATACTGGGGATCATGTCAGTTGCCCAGTAAGCACTTTACCGACCGAGCCATCTCCCCCGAGCCAGAGAGGTGAAATATTTCTAAGGTCTTGTCCTCTCACTCAGACCCTCACTGTTGCCCTTTATCACAAGATCCACCAAGCACCTTGAAGTTTCTGTCTCTTTTCCACTGAGTTTAAAGTGTCTGTCTTTTTAGCATCAGCCATAAAGATAACTCCAATGAAAGAAACTATGAATAGGGCTGGGAAAATGGCTCAGCAGATAAAGTGCTTGCTATACAAGCAGTGGAGTCAGACTTTAGATGCCTAGAACCCACAAAAAAGCCAAGCAAGGAATGATGGCTGCCTGTAACCCCAGCATTGGGGAGGCAGAGACATGCTCCTCAGAACAAGCTGGCTAGTCAGCAAGTTCTGAGTTCAATTGAGGGATCCTGCCTCAGTAAAGAGGACAGTGATCAAAGAAGACATCTGGTATCAACTTTGAGCCTCCATATGCATATACACACCTGCGTGTGTGGACCCACACATGAACATGCATTCACACATGCATGTATACCACACGAGCATGCTGAGAGAGAGAGAGGGAATGGGAAAGAGAAAGAGAGAGAGAAGATGGGAGCGAGAAGAAACCATGAGGTCGAGTATTTGCTTGAGCAGTGTTTTTAAAATAGCATCTCTTCTGAAGACAGTATCACACACCCCAGCTTTGCCAATAGAAAACATTGTGCCTTTTGGTCCCAGTTAGCAAAACTTGCCATTTTGCACCTTCTTCCTAAGATGCCAGATTCTCCTGGAGCTTCAGAGACTTTCTTGCCGTAAGATTTATTGGTTGGGTTCTGTTCTGGTAGGTGAGGATGCAATTAGTGGAGGCCTTAGCTGTATTTGTGTTACTTTGGGTCAAAACAGAAGCGTCAAGCTCAGGTTATAGATCTCCTTTGAGCAGAGCAAGAACCACAATTAGTTACAGGAAAGGCAATTTTGTGGACTGTTCACAACTGAGTGTCTCTGAGCATCGTCTGCCATCCAGTGTCAGGGGGATGACAGTCACCCTTCTGTCACATAGAAATCCTGTGTAAGTCACCTTCTACAGAGTAAATGTGTGTCTTCTTTGAGAGTCTTGGAAAAAAATTTAGGTAAAGGGGTCTCTTACTTTTTTTGAAGGTCACCATTAACTAGCCCTCAGCCTTCCCCAGGCAACTGTTCCAGTGTCTCCCTCTGCCCCAGGTTCCTGGCTTGGGACCCTTTTCTGAGATTCTTGGGTTCTCTTTCTCAATCCTGGATGTGCCAACGGAGTTGAGCAAAGCCATGAGGGCCAGTTCTGGGAACGTGAGAACATGCTTCAATGGATGTGCACGGAAGGACTGCTGGCTGTGTAGACGCACAGCCCTCGTCACAATCCTTCTTCGCTTTTCTGTGGAGACACAGAGAGTTTCTCAAACACCTTGTCTGTGTCAAGAGGGAGAACCAAAGTGTGTGCTCCCAGAATTCATAGCCCAGTGATGAACCATCCAGGGCCCACTCATCACAGAATCCTTAAGAGTTCTGGGTAACAGATGAGCCATAAGTGTAGTGTGAACATGGAGGGTATGCAGGTAATGCACATGGGGCGGGGTGGTGGAGGGCTGAGGAAGATCTGTTGGAAGTGGAGATGGGAAGGACCTGGTTCCTGAAGACCAGGGAGAAGGAAGGAAGAATGTCAGCATGACAGGAGTCTGTACAACAGGGAACAGCATGTGCAAAAGCACGGTGGTGTGAGGGTCTGCAGACTGTGATGTCTCACACTGCTTATTCTAAGCTCTCTTAGGGACAGTCTTGGGGGACAAAGTTGAGAAAGTGGTGTAAGCCGGACAGGGACTGAGCTCATCCTCAGACAATTCGGAGCCACTGGAGGTCTTACGTATAAGCGTAGCATAGACTATAGCGCTGAGCCCAATCTGGGTGAAAAGGACAAAAAGCCAAGGAGGAGATGTAAGGGAACATAGGTTCCTGAAGGTAGGCCTTTAGGAGTCACACTTCTCCTGTCCCAGGGTGGCCCTACTCGGAGTCCACAAACCATCTTCTGGAGGCTCACTCATGGTCCCAAATGGCTTTGACTATGCACCTCCTACTTCCAGAACCTTCACCCAATTTTTCCTAAATCCTTGACAGAGTGGCCAAGACAGGTTGTTGAGGTCTTTCTTCTGGAAAGAACTTGTTAATTAGCTGTTGGAGTGCAATTAGTTGAGAGCTCCTGGCAGCGGGCACCTTCAGGGACTGTCCTAGCCTTTCCTCTTTAACTGCATTAAATGTATGTGTGTGCATATAGGTGTGGAGGCTGAGGACTTCAAGTCGTCCATCTTGTTCCTTGAGACAGAATCACCTTGGCCTTCCTTGGGAATTTGGGTAGATACGGATGCATTTTCTGAGTTGAGGGCCTAGAGTTGGAGGAAACCTGGAGAAGAAGAGAGGCTTCATGGAGACATCCATGGGTCATGTCCAAAGTCTTTATTTTTCTTTGCAAAATCAGAGAGAACCAATATCCTGCCTTGGCTGCTACTTCCCTTTAGTCCATCTGCTGGGCTCTCTGCATCTTGTTGCCCTTAGACAAGAGAGGGACCCCCCCCCCAGTAGAGCATGCCAGGGGCTCAGGGAGCAGGCTGTTAATGCAGCAGGGCCCTTCGGATGTTCCCTCACTGACAAGTCCAGGCTGGAACCTGCCAGCATCTGTTCACAGAGACATAGCTTCACAAACTCTGCCGACTGGAAGGGACATTGGAGGTCATCTATTCCAGCCTCTGGGTGGGAATTTTCAAGCTGTTCTGATAATTCTAGAGTTCTTTCTTCTATTGTGTGGAGGACTGGAAGACCATTTGTTCTGACTTCCCATTAATGAGTTGCTAAAGGGAATGGACCACAGTCCACTGAGAACCCCCATCCCAAGGAGAAGCACACTGCATCTCATTTTTGTGTCTAGCGGTGAGAAACACGGTAAGCCCAGATTTGGGAACACAAGTTCCTTTTGTCCTTCACACTACGGCTATGAGAATAGTCTCCATGGTTACAGCAGCTTCTCAGAGCTGTCTGGATTTTCGTTTTTTCCTCTTGTCCCCTAAATGTCTAATTTATGAATAATCAGTTTAGGTAACCTGGAAAGTTTCTTGCATGTGTACGGATATTAAGAAATATATATTACAAATTCAAAATAAAAAAAAGTAGGATGACAGGCAAATTTTTGGCACAATTTTTTCCTCCCACTATAAAAAGAAATTTGGATTGACTTTAAAATGTCTCAGGTTAAACAAGATTCAATGAAAGAAACACTGTCTTCGTATTCTTCAAAGGCGCCTGAGTTGCGGAGGGCTGGAGCTGACCTAATTACGTTTTCTTTAATGTGGAACAGCTATTTGCCCGACATCCCATTTGCATCTCACCATCACATTCAAATGGCAGGGACATTGATTTTTTTCTAGAGCTCTCTTTGAACATGAAAGTGCTTTTTTTTCTTGTTTTTTTTTTTTTTTTTTCCTTTCCTCTCCTGTTCGTCCCCCTTGTGAGAGCAGTGATAAGGATGGATCGATAATTACATTGTTGGATAAAAATGAATATAAATTTTATTGAAAAACAACTCCAGAAACAGTGTGGGGGACAGCATCTCCAACAGCCAGAGGCCCACATAACTCAGTGCGCACGTTATGAGAAGTAATCACCTCTGAAGATTTCCAACTACTTAGTACAAATGAAAAGAAATTATAGACCTCAGAGGAGCCAGTGCAGCAGCGAACCCATACGCCTTTGAAAACACTGCCAGTAGCAAGCCTTGTGGTGCTACCATTAACCCTGTGTTCGCTGTGGGCCAAACTGTGTAGTTCAAGAATTAATTAGTGTGGAGAGAACCCAAACCTTCAAGTAAGGGAGGCAGACCACTGGGAAAATTTCTTTCCTTTTCAAGTCTTTTGAGAATTTCGCAGACTTTTTTTTGGCAACATGTCCCTCCTGCTTCACAACAGGAAATAGTTCTTTATGTCTAGCCTAAATCCTTCATGCTTCAGTTAATCTATTTATGTCTCTTTTAATCTCAGCGGGCCATGAGCAGTTTGTCCTGGTGGGACAATGTAACATATGGGGAACTCACAGATATTCACAATCATACAGAAAACAGTCCAGCTGCTCTGGTGGCACGTTTGAAGCAAGTTGAAAAGAAGTTAATTGCGGCCCTTTGCCCCACCGCGCCCCATCCTCCTACACTCTGGCACCCATCCTGGGACTTGTCTGGCAAAATGCTGAGTTTGATCAATTTCAGCCCGTCATTGGTACAGCAATGCCTGTGATCAAAGTTATCCTGGCCAGGCCTGTGTCCGGGGGTAAAGGATTTCCGGGCAAACCACTTCTAAATTCTTATCACATTTCATGTCTTTTCACCACGCCAGGCCAGGAAGTCCCCCAAGGCTCGTCTCACAGTCTGTGCGCACTAGGGAATGCCAAGAAGCCAGGAGAAAGCACCTAGTGATCTTGAACAAACTCGGAGCTTTGCAAAACGCTAGCAACTTCTCACATCAGCCACCAGGGGGCGCGCGCGCCATTCGATTAGCAACTGGGACCCGTCCACCAGGAGACAAAGATGGGGATTTGAATAAAAGCCTTCAAAATGCAACCCCAAATTTCCAGCCTGAGCAGCATGCGTGTAAAAATTCATGAAGGCTGGATTTAGTTTCGTGTATTTTCACGTCGTGGAAAGAAATGCAGGCGTTTTTCTGACTGCCCCTGCAGCTGTCTTGACAAAGGGGTTGCCTGGTTAAGTGAGCAGGGCGGGGCGTGGGATGACCGGCAGGAGCTGGGAGAGGCCGGGCCTGGGTCTCCCGGGGAGGACAGCTCCCGTTTTGCATAGTGGTGTCTTCTACAAGCTCCAAAATGGATTGTGCTGTTTTGAAAGAGATGGGTGTTGTCTTCCATAGTGGCAGCCAGCATTGTTGTCCAGTGAGTGACAGGAATCACAGAAGGCACTTACTATTTTGTTAAAACATAGCACATTTTTTTAAGCCCATAAAAATAAAAGGGGTGAGAAAAGGCTGTTTTCTCCTTGTGCTGTGCAAACTCTACCTGTGGCGGTGGATAGTGGTGAGGCATGAGTGACATTGTGCTGAGGAGCCCAGTCTGTCAGAGGGCACTGCACATAAGCCAAGGCATTTCTACCCCCAGGAAGTATGCCCGCCATAAGCAAGGCCACCTAGCCTGGTGGAGGTTGGATACCTGGTACCAGCTGCACAGCAGTGGGGACTCATGGGGAAGGACCCTAGGGGATGAAGGACTGAAGTCCTAGAGGCCTGGGTCTTCAGAGAAGCTCAGGTGGGGAAGGCTCCTGTTCCCACACCCTGAGCCCCTTGGGTTCACCTCTGTAGCACAAGGCCAGGCACTTACTGTCTGATGAACACTTGCTTAGGATAGAGTTGAATGTAGAGAGTATGTCAGGCTGGCCCTGGCTGCAGCTAAGCCTGACGGCATGTGGAGTGTCCGTCAGGGAGAGGTGATGGGGACCCTGTGATAGGCAGAGGTAACAGGGTCCCAGAACCCAGGAGTTACTACCCGGGAGTGCATGCCTGCGCTGGGATGGTATTGCAGTGGCCTCTTTGGGCCTCTCTTGGGCCTTCTTCCCTCCACGTTGCAGTCTTTCCCTCAGTCGTTGTCATGGCAACGGCTAGCCTCAGGTGCTTCTGAGGGCCAGCTGGGCAGCTGAGGCTTCTCAGGACAGGCCTGAGCAAGCAAGAGGCCCTCAACAGTCCCTAACAGAAGGCTGAACTCAGGGCAAGGTTTGTCATCTCAGAGAAACAGATATCCTGCTGTTATGCACTGTCCCTGGCAGTGCTGTAGTTTCTCTGGGACTCATCCCTTTCCCAGGGCCCAAATCTCTGTTCAAGTTCATCAGTCAGGCTCTCAACAGGCTCCTGTGAAAATGAGGACAGGCTTGAACTCAGGCTCTGGGCCCCCCCAGACACTAGGGGCACCCAGTCAGGGGCCTGTCACTGTTAGGCATGGGTTGCAGGATCAGTGGTACCATTCCATCCCTGGTCCCCACCCAGGATGTTCATTTCACACACATTATTGCTTTCTGCCCTTGCCATATCTGGGTGACTCACAGGCATTGATACTCAGCCTCCAGCTGGCTGTGGATCAGCTGGGTTTGTTTTTTTTTTAAATACCTCCTTTTTTGCAGGACTCCTGAAGGGCAGGAAGTAACTAATGAGGAGTCAGTAGGAATGTGGAAGATGGGCAGGCCCAACATTCCCTGGGGTTCAGGAACTGAGAAACACTGTCCTTAGAAGGGGCTGTCTGATGAGACTCGGCCTCAGACCTCATGTTCTCCTGGGGTGAGGAGGAGAATTCGCTAAGCATCATGTGGAAAGCTGTCAACCTGGACAACACCCCCGCTTTTCCACACCAAATCTACAACAACAGCACTAACACAAAAGCCGGCATGGGCATGGGTGTACAGTTCATAATACCTTGGATTTACATAGCACCTTTTTCTTCCAAAGGGCCTTCACCCCTGTCCCTTCAGCCACAGTGAGTGAAGCCTTTAGCAGCACAGACATCTCAGTGCCTGTGGTGGAGTGGGAGGCCGAGGCAGAAGCCTAGAAGTGATTTCATGCAGACTAGTGGTGTCCCAGGCTCTCTGCCCTTCACAGGCACGGTCCCTGTGCTGGGCTGGCCTTGGCCCTCGGAGGCTGTGAGTGTGGAGCCCTTCACTGGGTATTCACTTTGTACTTCAGGATGTAGGAGTAGAAGTTGTGGTTGGCGTTCTCTAGCACCATGACGTAAACTTCTTGGCAGCCAGCTGTGCTGCAGCTGCCTTCCCAGTAGCCCTCGGGGTTCAGGGTCAGGGGCCATGTGTCCTGCCCTTTCACCAGGGCTTTGGCGATACCATGCAGCTTCAGTTTGAATGGGACGTTACGGTTGGCAGGAAGCACCCCAGACAGAGGCTCTAGCAGCTCATTGTCAGGCCCCCAGTTGCCGAAGCTCTCCGGGAACATGGGCCAGTTCACTTTGGTGTTGGCGCAGCACAGGAGGTAATTGAAGACAAACGTGTAGTTGCCTGGCTCCTGCCTCTTCTTCACAAAAATCTTGAGGGCAAACTTGCCAGCATGAGGCAGCTGGACTTTTAGCTCTGTCCTCTTCTCTCGATGCAGTTGGAAGATGTATCGCCGCTGTGTTTCCTCGGTGATGGGGCCGTCATCTCCGTGGAGGGAAGCCAGGACGCTGATGCCCTCCTCCACGGCAAAGCTGATGGAGCAGCGCCCGTCACTGGTGTGGATGATGGGGTCAGGATGCGAGGGCTTCAGGATGCCCATCTGCTCTGAGAACCAGCTAGGCCCCACGGGCTGGTGAAGCTCGGCTGGCAGCCTCACGCCCAGGTCTACATAGTTGCACTTGAGTGTGTATTCCAGCACTGAGCTATAGATGTCAGAGTTGCCTTTGGCAAAGATTTGCAGCTTATGGGTGCCCATGGTTGGAGGGTACACCTCCAACTTCATCCCATTCTTCCTGAGGCTCAGTAGCCCATGCTCCTGCTTGCCATCGAGCATGAACATGAACAGCGTTGGGGCACAGCTCTCAATGGTGACTGTGGCCTTCCCATTCACTGTGGAGAGAAAGTCCAGATCAGGTGAGATGGGTTCAGCGTGTGCTGGGAAATGCTTAACAACTGGCCCTCGGGGGATGATCTGACTTACAGTGTTTGCCCGTGTCTGTGGTGTAAACATTTCTATCAGGCTTGATTTTATTAATGTGATGTCACTGAATATGGTATATACCAATGGCAGAACACCACTGGATTCTTTTGCTCTCTGTAGGTGAATACTTTGAAACAGCTGCTATCTGGGTGTAGGGGTGGGGAGAGAAGCCCCAAACAAGTCCGTTTTCAGCCATATCTGTTCCTTTCTGTCACTGTCTCGTTTGTTTGGTTGGTTTTGGCTTTTGAGACAGGGTTTCCCTGTAGCTCCAGCTGGCTTGGAGCTCACTAGTAGACCAGGTTGGCCTTGGTCTCACAGAAATCTGCCTTTCTCTGCCTCCCAAGAGCTGAGTTCTGGGATTAAAGGTGTATGCCACCATGCCCAGTGACTCCCTTTTGGTTTACATTAGATGAAGGCTGCCTGGACCTTTGGTTTGATTCTAGAGCATGGAGGGAAGTTATGTATGTGTATGGGGGGGGCAAAGGACAGAAATACTGTCTCCTCCAACTCCCAAGTCTTTTAAAAAATATTTATTTTTATTCGTTTATTTATGTATACATACATATGTGTATATCTTTGTGAGTGAGTGCTGTGTGTGTACAGGTGCTGGAGAAGCTGGAGTTACAGGAGTTTGTGAGCCTCCTGACTCCTGCTGGGAGAGTAGTGAGTGCTCTTAACTGCCGAGCCATCTCTCTAGTCCTTGCAATTCTTTTAAAAACATTCTATTAATTAATTTTATTTTATGTGTGTGAATGTATTGCCTGCATATATGTAAGTGCACCTGTGTTGTGCAATGCCGCAGAGGTCAGAAGAGGGCTTCAGATTCCCCTGGAACTGGAGTTATGGATGACTGTTAGCCACCACATGGGTTCTGGGAACTGAACCCAGGTCTTTTATTAGGGCAGCCAGTGCTCTTAACCACTGAGAACTCTCCAGCCTCCGTAACAACTCTTAAGTCTTGCTTTCACATCACTCTCCTTGCAACAGCTTGTTATGGTGTCAACAGCTGTCACATCAACACATTACTTTAACCAGTTGGAAGGACCTCACCCCAGGAATCTGTACCTAGCGTGGGAATGGGTGCTTTTCCTGTTCCCTTCTCTTCCCATACCTGCTTCTCACATAGGGGTGCCATAGCTGTGTTTCTGGAATTTGCTTTGGAAAGTCAGCACATGCATCCCCCTCTCTCCCACTTGTCCTGTAGTTTTGTATTCTTCTGTCCCGATCATTGTTTTTTAGGGACAAGTGGTCAGTTCTTGGCTTTCACAGTTCAGGAGGACTCACCTACCTGATCTTTTCTGGCTCCCCAGCTAGTGGCTTCTTTGAGAGCCTGGCTTTGTCTTCTGTCAAGAGCTGGTCATAAATAAACTTGGTGCCCTGCCCCAGCAACTTCTCTAGCCTTGTTTATGGATGGAGACAAGCAAAGGAGAAGGTAATCTGGTTCATGTTCCCGGTGAACCCCCTACCTTATACATGGTGAGGACTCACCCTAAAGGCCTAGCTGTAATGAACCCCACTCTGCCCACCAAGGTGAGCTTGAGTTGCTGGAGGTCTCCTCCCTGGCCTTAGCTCTCTTTGGAGAATTATCACTGTTGTGATGAATCAGGGGAGTACTTTTCTATACTCTGTCCTTGTCTGGGCTGTGGGCTCTTTGAGAAGAGCCTGTCCCAGAGAACCCCTGGGACAGAGGTGTGTGGGTATCTGGGAAGATGTGAAGTGTTGGGGACCCCAGAGGCTCTCTGGAGGAGCCATGGTTAGTATCTCTCTGTCTTCCCCACCCCTTCCTTCCGTCCTGGCACCCAGTGGCTCCCCTCTCTCCCGAGACTTTTCTTTCCCTTCCTTTTTGTCCCCTCAGCTTCCTCTTTAGCTTCTGCACCATTTCTATTCTTAAGGCCACTCAAAACCACCAGGAGATTTTTTTTCAATATGTAACATGAATATGGAATCAACTTTCAGAGTACTATAAATTAAGAAATCTGGTGTTTACATTTTTGTTTCCTGACAAGGCAAACTCAACTCAGCGAACACATGTGATGTCATTGTGGCCTGTTCAGGGCTCAGATGGAGTCTTTCCTGTGGTTCAGTGTCCCGTAATAGAGACCACAGGCCCCCATCTGGGTCTGGTACAGGAACTGATTTACAAAGTGAGCAGCCACAAGCGGTGACCTCAGCAGCCAGAACCGTCAGGTGTCTGCTATTTTATAGAGCTCCTTGGAGCTCTACACTCAGGTCAAGGAATCCACCACAAGGAGGTGGAAGAAGCAAGTCGACTGGGGCTCACGTGGGGCACCTGTTTATCTGCTGCCCTTGGCTGCACCTCTGCCCTGCAGCATAGGGTGGGACAGGAGCCATCCCTCAAGACACCCTGGCTGATTACCTCTGCCAGCTCAGACATCTTTTCTGGGATGCATGAAATTCCCTAGTGGCACAACTAGTGCTGGCAGAGGAAGGGTAGATGGGGTGACCAGCCTTTCTGAGTCCTGCTGTGTGACAAGCATAGGACCAGGCTCTGGGTCTGAAAGAGGCAGGAGAGGCATTCCATGCCCTCAGGCCCATAGAGGACCATGATTCCAGTTCTGAAACTTCAGTCCGGTTCTGGAGGGTGCAAACATCCAGCTGTCGTGGGCTATCACGCATGCGTGTGTACGTGTGTGCGTGCATGCGTGTGTGTGTGTGTGTGTGTGTGTGTTGGCCCAGGCTAGCCATGGGAGACAGTTAAGCTTGATGGTCTGCTCTTCTTGGTTTAGGTTAGTGGGACTGGGAATTTCTCACTGCCAACATGACATATGAGATGTCCTGCCTTGATGGCTCAGTGACCTTGGCTGCCTGCCATCTCTTGAACATACACATACCCATGTGATCTCAAGTAGAATTCTTGAGGAGTAGAGCAGACTGTTCTGATTCTGGCCTGACACCTGTCCCATGTTACCTGTCCTGATCATGGCCGTCTCTGGGTGGGCACTCAGCATCCCCTTGTTGTAGAACTCACTCTTGTGGTACATGTTGTTCTCAAACTGTCTCAGAGACTGAGGTGGCTTTAGCAGTTGCCAGTTCTTGTTGTCTGGGAAGTGGTCCTCGATGAACAGGGAGGGGTGGGTGAGGAAGTAGAATTCATTGTAGCTGGAGTAGAAGAAAAGCTGGTCAAAAGCTGTGGGGATGAGGAAGCCTGATTTCTCTCACCCACATCTGGCACTGGGGGAGGGAGCTCCTAGGGGAACCTTGTGGGAACCTTGGTTTAGCTGACCCACCCAGAGGAGGGTCCTCGTTGACAGGTTGGGAGGCAGTGCCATCTGTAGTCCTAAAGTGGACACTAGAGCCTTCTCTCCATTGACTGTGTCCACACCCTGGGGCCACAGCTGAACGGGAGGACCCTTCTGAGACAGGGCCACAGCTTGAAATTCCAGGATGTCGGGGATGGAGTGTGGTAGGGACAACGGGTCTCTCTACGCTCAGTACCACGAGGAAATTGGAATGTATTAAAGGTATGACTGTGGAGCAGATCCGGGTAGTGAGGGCTCAGGGAGGTGGGAAGGTGCTTCTGTCTACCTTCATTGGACCCTTCTTGTCCCTGTGGGTAAGGAATAATGCAGTGGGGGATCGTCTGTGGCTCCTTGGGGCTGACCAGAGAGATTTGCTTTGGAGATCAGTGATGGAGACCAAGAGAAGAATGTGGAGGCTCAGCCTGCACCGGGGGAGGCTTTGCTCTGCCTGAGGGGGTAGTGTTCAGAGTAGCAGAGGTGTGAAAGGTAAGTGTGAGAGTACCAGGATTTCAGCTGACAAGTCAGAGAGAAGCCTTAGCTTCCTGACTATAAGGGACTCAGCTGCCAATGGGTATTATGACCCATGAGAGTGTCATGCTTGGCTGTAGGTTAAGGTCAGGGTTGACCAAGCCTTGAAGGATGGAAATGGTCCAATCTTCACCACAAGGCTCAGGGTGGCTCAGCTCCACCCACAGGGCTCCTTTCTGCCAGCTGTGGCCCTTCCTCCTCCCAGAGACCAGGAAGGAGCCTTGTTGGAGAAAATCCTTGTATCTGTGCATCATAATTGCTAGCCTTGACAGAGGCTCCTTGGCCCTGCTCCTCCTCACATGGGGCCTGGGACAAGCCCTAGGGGCACCTGGGTTTAGCTAGAGGAGAGATCTAATTAGTGGAAGGGTGGTGTGACAGGGAAGTCTAGCTCCTCACAAGTGGTCTAGAGCTGGCTTTGAGGAAGGTGATGAGGCTGCCCAGCTCTCCTTTCCTCCTCACTTGGCCCTTTCCTTCTACCCGATGCTTCCTTCAACTTTGACCTTTCCCACATGCCACCACCCAGACACTCCATAGGGCAGAGCCTTGTACTTACAGGAAGGTGAATTTGGAAGTGGCAGTGTCCACCAGGCCACTGCCCCAGGTGCTGTCTAGCAGGTGCCATCGCCCCTCCAGGTACACAGCATTCCAGGCGTGGTCAAACTCTCCAGAGAAGCTCTGCCCGGTCTGGTAGCCAAAGCCCTTGGAGTAGCCGGGCACCGTCATGCACTGCACACCAGCGATCCTGGGGATGGGACATGGCTCTGAGAAGGGGCTCCTGCTGGGACTGGCTCCCCAAGTCTGTCTGCCCAGGGCCCAAGACTACAGGCACTCTCACATTCAACATATAGGGAGCCTTGAGTGCTGGGGGTGGGATGGGAAGACACAGTACTGGCAGGTCCTGCCGGTGCAGACTGGCTGCAGTCCCCGTTGTCTGCTTCTCCCTTGAGACTCTTCAGATCACTTCTGATATGTTTCCCCAGAGCCTGTTTGACATGATCCACAAGCAGCTCTCCAGGAGACGAAAAATGAGAGCAAGAGGGAGGATGGCCTCAAGAACACAGACGCATGTAAGAGCTTATGCAGCCGGGCAAGCCAGGGCATCTCAGGATGGCACTGTTGGTGAGGGCAGGAGATAGCTGGGCCCTGATCCCTGGCTATGATCTCCCTAGCATATCTGCTCGGGGATGGGAGCAGGCAAACAGGTGTGTCCAACACTGACCAGGTTGGCTGCCAGTATTCCTGACCATCATCAGTCTGTCCTTCAAAGCGCCGCGGTGTGTTAACACCACTCACTGCCTGCTTGGGCCACCATTTTGAAGTCTCTCCTATCTGTTACAGGAGGAGTAACATTGACCAGCTAGCCTGGGCTTTGTGGTCATTTTCACAGGGCACCTCCCTCCCTCCCCCCACTGTTCACAGCCAAGCAGGCACCACAGTTTGGGCACTTGGACTGTAGGCAATGGTTGCCGGTCACCTCAGGGGACCCCATAAAACCAGTCATGTGGAACGGAACCCCCAAGACTATAGGTACCATTCCAGGGCTGAAACAAGACCCCTGGAGGCCCTGCCGTGCCTGGCCAGCTGGCCTTCCTCCTTAGCAGCTCCTCTCTCTAAATGGCTCTCCAGGAATGGGCAGTGCCAGTCTGACCCAGTGAAAGCTTCTGACCACACTATGAATGAGGGAGAAAGGTGCCTGCTCTAGTACTTGCCTTGTACTTGTGGGAAGCCGGCGCAATAAATACACATGCCTATAAAGGCCTGGCTGCTCAGAGTGGCCTCTGATGGAGCCCTTCTTCACCCACAAGCTGTCCAGCCCTCACACACTGCTGACCCTGAGCGCCCCTCCAACACGCACTTCAGACATCAGCAGGGCCTATTCAGTGGGGCACCCGGGTCAGGCTTATCAACGGGGCCTCAGAGTAAGGGGTAAAATGACCATGCGTTTACTGTAGGGATAGGGAGAGGGCTGAAATGAGTATTTAAACTTCAGTAGACTGTTGGATTGAACATTACTGACCAACACCTACATATCATTTGTTGGGTCACTGAGGCGAATATGTGCCACAGAGATGAAGATTCTCATTCCTGGCCACCCCTGTTACCTCATGTGCAGATAAGGGTGGCATGCTACCACCACTGCCTTAGCTGTCCTCCACCTACAGAGTCATATTGAGGCCACTCATGCTGAGATTCCTTAGGGGTATGACATTTGGTGGTCCCTGCCCTTCTGTCTCCAGTGTCACAAAAGGGGGGTTCAGTCCACTCTTGCTTTCTGGGGAATCCCATGAGCTTATACCAGCCGGTGAGAAAGATTCAGGAACACTTGGTGGCTCCCTGATGACAGAAACCATCTAGGTCCTGATGGCAGGATTCTGAGATCTGTCCAGCGCAGGAAGGCATAGGAGACAGTGGGCCATAGAGCCCAGGGGAGACGAGATATGCAGTGCATGCACTTGGAGGGTCCGTTGGCCTCATTTCTCTGCAACACAGAGCTCAAGGCAGTGGGCTGTACTGGGGGGATGCTGGGCTGAGAGGGGTGGTTCTCAGGATGGGGAGACCTGAATGTCTTCTCAGAGCACCCAGGATCAAGGAAGGAAGAAAGGAAGGAAGGAAGGAAGGAAGGAAAGGAGTATCCTTAGCATCCATGCTCTCTCTGGGTGCTGGAGTAAGTTGGGCATTGATCTAGCAGTCTGGATGTCCTCTTGGGAGAAGCCTGTCCTAAGCAGTGTGTTGAGGATATTCTTCTATCCAGGGGAATGAAGTGGAGGGAAGATTTGAAGAAGCAAATGGAGAGCAGCAGGGAGGGACTTCCCCAACTAGGGAAAGGCCAGAGGAAGATGAAGGATGACAGAGACGTCCTCCTGTTCTGCTCCAAGCTGGAGTGGGCAGCCATGCAGTGTAGCCAGGAAATCAGGCTCTATTCTCGGCTCCAACAGTCACCTGCAGTGACCTTGCTAGGCTCATCATGAGCAAGAAAAGGATGGTTGGCGTTAAATGTTCTCCAGGGGGTGATTCTACTCCGACAGGCCAAGGAGAGCTGGAAGGGCCATGGGGAATGCCTGTGGCAGAACTAAGATGAAAAAATGAACTCAGTTGTAAGTTTAAGCATTGCTGGAGTAGGGCACGTGGATGTTTTATTACCTGGCAGCCAGGTGTGAGATGAATTGGACAGGAGTCATAACAAAAAACGTGGCCAATAATCCAGTTTTCATGCAAAATAAAGTAACCCATATGTATAAAACAATGACTATAGAACTAGTAGTTTTGCATCCAGCCTCTGGTCACCAGTCAGATCATGACCCATGACCCTTCATCAAAAGACCACAGACTATATAAATGGTGTGCCAAGGCACAGCACAACACGACACACACAACAAACAACACAATACAATATATTGTTTCCCAAACAAGGCTCCCTGGCAGCTGCCTTAGGCATGTTCTTGTTTGGAAGGTGGATGGCTCTGTGAACTGCCAAGCAAACACCAGACTGTGAGCAAAGCCCTGGGAAATCAGCAGTCCAGGAGCTGAAGCAGGCATCAAGGATGAGAAATGTGTCTACCTACTGGTGAGCTTGACCCAAACATGGTCCAAGGCCATCTGTTTAGCAACCTCAGGCTGCAGAATCTTGCCTTTCCTTTTGCCAGTCTTGGCAGCCCCTGTGTCAGCTCCTCAGAGCAGGGCAGCTGTCAAGCCAATACGCATGCAGGATGCCCTGAGCAAGTTTCCCTGGGGCACCACCTAACGGTGGTACTTATAATCGGGATAGTAACGCTCACTGTAAGGCCCATGAGAGCCTTGTGAGATGTGATTGCAGAGGCCTCCTCGCCAACAGGTAAGCCATCTTTAAAGGATCTGAAGGAAGCTGCAGTCCCATCTTTAGTCAGGATCAGGGCTCAGACACCCAACCCATGTTCTAAGGCTGCAAAGGAACACGTAGCTGTCCACCGGGGCCTGATGGAAAAGGACTGAACAGAGGTGCAGGCAAGAAGAAGGTTGTGACCTGGTGACCATGGATGATCCCTGAAGCTGCCTTGGCATCCGTGAATACATCTCCTTATCTTGTGTTCCCTTATCACTTACAAAGATCTGAGTGTGCCACTTTAGTGTAGTGTGTCACCAGGTATCCACTAAGCAGGTGGTGCGTCAAGACTATGATGGGCCTTTGATAGCAGAGATGGTCCAGGTGCTGCCGTGGGAACCACGTGAGATGGGGACAGCCTGAGTTGCGAGGCCCCAGAGGCGGTGTGGCTGACAGGCTTGGTCAGCAGGGATACCCTGCATGTATCAGTTTCTGACCATGGTGAATGAAGCATGCTCTTCCGGTATCTGGTTTAAAACATGTGATCTCTGCATCGTAGCAAGGCATGAGCTGTGACATCTCTCAGGACGTCTGTATTTGATTTCTCGAAAATTGAATTGTGTCTGTGTTTCCCTGCACATTTCTGCTCCCCTTTTCTTTGTGGCTAGCTCAATACCTGTACAGGATAAGATTTCTCATTTCAATGCCCGTGAAGGCCTCATGAGGCTTGACCTCAGAGGCCTCCTTTCCAACAGGTAAAAGGGCAGTGCAATGGTTCAAAGAAAGCTACCTGTCTTGGGGACACACAGGTAGTGTCTAATGTGAAACTGGGGTACAGAAATCCCATGGCATAGTCCAGGACCTTTTGAATTATACCAGCACATTGGCAGACCAAGATTTTGTTTTAATCTATAACTCTGTCAGTAGCACACAGACTGAAATTAAAAGATGATTTGTTTGTAGTGTTAGGGGTGAATGCAGGGATTCCTGCATGTGAGGCAAGGACTCTACCACTGAGCTACAACCCAGCCCAAAAGATGATTTGTTATAGTGATAGAATTCACCTTTGCATTTTCCTTTCATGTAGCTATAATGGAGGGGAAGTTTGGGAGTCCCTTTCTTATGTGACAAAGTCGGATTTGGCATTGTTATTCAAGGTCTAGTGGTGTAGACCTTTAATCCTATCTACTTCGGAGACTCAGGCAGGAGATTCACAAGTTCAAGGCCTGCCTAAGTCACTGAGCTGAAGCTCAGCCTGGGTAATTCAGAGAGACCCTGTCATAAAATACAAAGTTAAAAGAGGGTTACCCGATGACTTTATAGACATACACAGGTGCCAAAGATCAAAGTGCAACCGATTATGACTAGTAATAATCAGATACATACAGATTAGAGATTCATATGCCAACATCTCCGTGTTATTAGCAAAAACAATGAGCCTTTCTGTAAGAAACTGTATTTTAAAATGAAATGGAGATCTTTTCAAAGGTTAAACACTCATTCAATTTTATGTCTTACAGGGCTTATACTAAGTTCAATATTGTATAACTGTATTAATGCAACAGCAAAGCTGAAAATTTTATAGCCACTTTTGAAAGAGATGTATCTTTGCTCTGGAAACCGTTAATGAGTATGTTAAAGCTGTAATGAAATGCTTCTAAAAAAAAAAGAGGGTTAGGGATGCAGCTCAGTTAGAGTACTTAGCATGCACAAGGCTCTGGGTTCAGTCCTCAATGCTGCAGAAAAACAAAGACAAAAAGATTATCCCTCTTCCCTGGAATTTGCATCTCCCGGGAGGCGTGGCTGACCTCTACTCTTGTGTGGACCAGCAGTGGCCACCCCTCTCTCCTTGCTCTCTGTAACAGCTAGAGGATGGTTGGAGATGCAACCGACATTGACTGGGGACAGCCAGCCTACTCAACGTCAAACTTCAGACTGGAAATAAACCCCTGCTTAGCCAAAACCTCTAGACAATCTGCTAGCTGCTGGTGCTAGGGCTGTGATTACAGGGGGAGAGAATTCACTGGAGGCTGACTCAGTGGCAAGAGCCTGGGGAATTAACCTTGGCCTCTACAGGGAGATTAGGCAGAATCAATTAAGGCTGTGGGCAATGGAGGCGAAAGGAGAGACTTAATGCCCAGTGCTAGAAAGAAAGAAACCGGACCAGCAATTACATAGGGCAGGAAATAGTACTAACCGAACACTCCATGTCAGAAACTTGGGAGAGGAAATGAATGACACCAAGAAAATATCTGAAGTTCCTACCAAATTACTTATTAAATCAGTCTTTAATGAGACCACTGCCGGGAAGCAGAATGCTTGGGCAGGAAATGATGGTGACCGCCCAAGTACAAGTCTTGCTAAGAGGCCACTCCGACCACCCAGCAGGCCTAAACCAGCAAACGTGGATTGCGTGTCTTCAGTTATTAAGGAATCAGCTAATGGGTTTACTATGCTTTTGGCAGTTATTTTAGAGGATGAGTTACTGATCTTTAAAGCAAAAGTTAAAGGGATTTGAAAGACTGTGAGCTATTGTTAAGCATCCTAGGCAGTGCAAAGAATTTTGTGCAGTCACCGCCAGGATGAAACTAACTTTAACTGATGCAGAATGTTGGGGTGTATTTTAATGATCTGCTGCAGGGTAGGATGTGGCCCTTGTTAAGCACCTGGACTAGGTCAGAAAGCTGACAGTTTCATTCAAGGCAAGTGTCAATTTACTGAATCTATGTGGGTGGGTTGGCACAGTCAGTAAGAAAGTTCTACAGAACAAAAAATGCTTCTATGTTCCAGAAAGACAGAACTGGTTTAAAAAACAGCAACTCCAGCTGGGTGTGGTAGCCCAGGCCTTTAATCCCAGCATTCCTGAGATAGAGGCAGAAGGATATCTGTGAGATCAGGGCCAGCCTGGTCTACACAGCAAGTCCAGGCCAGCTGGGACTACAGAGAGACCTTGTCTCAAAAAAAAAAAAAAAAAAGTAATTTCAAAGTCAGGGGAGCGACCCCCAAACTATATATGCTATCTCGGATAGTTTGACTGTCTTTTCACGCAGGCAACATAGTTTCCAATACAGAGATGAAGAAGCTGAGGCTGGAAAGACAGGCACCTCACCAAAATGAGCAAAGCTAGTAAGTGCTCAGTTAGGGACAGGAGTTTTACAAGTGGCTTTCCTATCGCAAGTGGCTACCTGCAGAGACTGGGCCCATGAGCCGTCCATCATGGATGGGGGAGGGGCCCGTAAAGTGGGGGAGCCCAGTTCCTCAGTGTTGTAGCCACTGGTAAGTTGCCCCTGCTTAACTTAACCTTCATTCATGCAGGCAACCCTAATTAGATAAAGTGCCCTTCTCAATGGACATGAGAGTAGGAGGGGCTAGCTCAGTGCCTGTAATCAGACCTGTCTGGAAGAAGGGGTTTGGTGAGAGGGGAATATGAGGGGTTATGATCAAAGTATCTTATATATGTATAATATATAGAAAGAAGAAATAATTTTTAACAAAGAAACACAAGGCAAAAGCAAACAAACAACCCCCCCCCCAGTAGCTTCAGATTTATGAATTCAGATGAAAACAACCATATTCTGAAAGGTGCCAGGCAGGCAGGGCACTGACAGCTCTCTGGTGTTTTGTTTTTCTTTTTTTTTTTTTTTTTTTTTTTTTTGATCCAAGTGCAAGACAGGGTCTCCCTGTAGCCCCAGCTGTCCTGGAACTCACTATGTAGACCAGGTTGGCCTTGAACTCACAGAAATTCACCTGTCTCTGCCTCCCAAGTGCTGGGATTGAAGGCTTGTGCCACTATGGCCGGCGATGGTGCTTTTTGTTACTTAAATGAACACACAAAGCAACGTGTGATGGTGTATAGCTTTTATCCCAGCACTTGGGAGGCAGCAATAAGCTGATCTCTGTGAGATCAAGGCCAGCCTGGTCTACAAAATGAGCTTCAGGCCAGCTGGGGATACAGGGAGACTATGTCTCAACAAACAAAACAAAAGCAGCCAAACAAAAGCATACAAGCCTGCTAGGAATATCCCATTATTTCCCGTCCTTCTGTAAATGCCTATGGAGGGCCTGCATGGGGAATTCTGAGCTTGGTGTTCACAGGGAGGAAGAAAGAGAGGGAATAAAAGACTTGAAGATACAAAAGTCCTATAAGGCATAAAGAAGAAAGGGGTCCTGGGAATTCCCGGGTGCTTAGAACGAAGACTAGAAAGCAGTAGGGAAAAGCCACCTTGTCATCTCCACGTGGTAGGATTCAGAGTCACTTAATTTTCTACGTTTTATAAATGATATACAATGAGCTTTTTTTTTTTTTAATTTCAAAAGGTTATTAATGATCCTGTAAGATGTCTCGGAAGGAAAGGCGCTTGCCATCAAGCCTGAGCACCTGAGACCCCAGCCTCAGAGGCAACCAGGATAGGTTACACCCTGGCCACCCCATGCCCTCCTCCACAGCCCTCTCCACTAGCCTGTCATGACTCACTGCCACCCCAGTCTTAAACCCAGGTGCCCCTTGCCTTTGGACCTCCCTGTCCCTGAGTTCTAGAACCCAACTGAAGGCTCATACGGTGCTCCAAATTTCTCCAGAATCTGATCTCAGCCATCTTTCAGTCCTGTACCTTTCAGCACCACCCACATTTCTGCTTCCCTGTAAGTCCACTGTGAGCCTCTTTACCCTTCTCCGGGCCCCATCCCAGGGCCCCATAACCATTTTTTGATACCCTCCTCACACCTTGTATACCAGCTTGTGTGATTATGCTATGTTAAGCTATGTTAAGTTTTCACTTAATAACCTTTTGAGTGATGTTGAGGAATCAAACCCCAGGCCTTTCCCATGGTAAAGAACTGATCCACCACTGTGCTAGAGCAGGGAGCTAGGCAGAAGGGCTGGGACAACTCAGGGGCCAGGTACTTGCCACTTAGAAGTGGTACTAGGGGGCTGGGAGGCAGTGTAGCTTCGTCCAAGGATAAGGTACATGTCCTCCCAGGCAGGTACCCTGTGGCCACCTGCAGGACACTGAGGCATCACTCCTTCCTGCCTGTGGACTGTGTGTTGGTACACTAGGTTTGATGAATGAAGTCATGGTGGGCAGACACTAGGTGTTTGATAAGACCTGCTCAGAGGCCTGCAGAGACGTAGCAGCTATCTACTTGCTTCGTAGGGAAGGGGAGTTTAGTGGCCCTCCAGGGCCGTCTGGTTGTTCCTTAGAAGAACCCAGCAGACCTCAGAAAGGCAACAAGAAGCTGCAGGGCTCCTCCAGCCTCGAGCCAGTTTAGAGGTCACTGGCGAACAGTATGGCCCATTCTTTTGCTCAGGCCAGCAACTTGGCCATGGGCTAACCCCTAAAGCCCTGAAAACAGGGCCCAAAGACATGGAGAGCCACCACCTGGTTACTGAGCTTTCCAATCAACAAATCTTTCCAGGAAGACCTTTTGTATTCCACCCCTGCCCCCACCAAGAGGTCCCTATACTTGCCCAAAGGACAGCCTTTCACAGTTCCCTTGGCATCAGCAGCTGCTGTCCTCTAGTTCCTAAGCCTGCTATTCTTTTAACCTTCAGCTCTGCACAGAGATGGGAGAAGGCAGAAAAGGGGCCTTTTATAACCAAATTATCTGTGTGCATTCATCTGCCATTATGTTAATGCACCACGAAGCCGGGCAGATGGTCCAAAGTCAATTATGCTAGTGTTAAAAAGGGAGAAATTGACCTTTTCAGGACTCACTTGGATTCCTGAACAGAGTTTGCAAACTCAGGCTTCAGGCCTGGCATGGGGGCAAAGACACACAGGGCTTTGGAAGAAAGAGAGGAGCACAGTCCAATGACAGCCAGGGAACTCTAACTCATCCCCAGCTGCCTGTCATACCTGCACATCCTTTCAAAGAGGCCAGCGTAGCCGTCACAGTTGGTCTTCTGGGTCCGTAGTATGTCGGTAGGTTTGAAGGCCTGGTGGTCCTTCTCCTGGGCGGCCTCCATGTCATATTCTGGAGGGTAGAGGAGGGGGCTGTGAGATGTGGGGCCCCAGGTGGCTGAGGCTGACTTAGAGGAGGGGAAAGCTGCAGCACCTGTAGCGTAGGCCCCAAGCCCAGTGTGCTCAGTAGGTAACAGGGGAATGAATGCAACCAGGACCCCAACCCTGTCAGATGGGGGACATGCCACCTTTTGTATAGGTGACACGAGGAGCAAGACCAAAGCAGAGAGGGCTCCCTGGTTATCAGACCTCTAAGGAAGGGCTATGTATGTGTGTGAGCAACACATGGGCCTGGGAAAGGAAGCTCTGCCCAGTGCTCTAGTTCTAATTCTTCCCCTTTAAGGTCAAGGATTGCTGGTGATGTTGGGGGATACAGAGGAGGTGGACCCTCAAGTTCAGACCTAGGGCAGGTGAGTTCATTCTCTAAACTGCATCTGGAGGACCTCAAGGCATCAGGGTGGGATGCTGTGGCTGGTCTTCATGTCAAAAGACTAGGGGTCTTCCCCACCATCTTCTCATTTATAGGTCTCAGCAAGGGGCAGCAGGCCCTTGGCAGCCCCACCTGTGGCTTGCCAAGACCTGGTGAGAGTCCCAAGGCTGTCTCATGGGAGCAGTGGAAAGCTCCTCTGTGGTGGCTCTGAGAACCCTGGGAGTGGGCTGAGAGAAGTGGATGAGGTCACTGAAGTGGCAGCAGGAAGCAGGGAGGAAAGAGCCCACCTTTCCTGGCACTGGTTTTAATACTTCACGGTGTTGCTATGGCTCTTCACAAGGCTGTGCCCTCCTCAGCCTGTGGCCACCCTTCTTGAACATGGCCTGTCCTGGGTTCTCATCTCTGTGTGGCAAGGTCATTAGTGTGCTGGACAGCTTTAATTGTCACCTTGACACACCTGGATAGAGGCAGCTTCAACTGGGGAATTGTCTCCATTGGATTGGCCTATGGCCATATTTGTGGGGTATTTTCTTGATTTTTGAGTGACGTAGGAGAGCCCAGTCCACTGTGGGCAGTCCCACCCCTGGGCAGATTGTTCTGTGTTGTATAAGAAAGCAGGCTGAGCATGGGCCAGAGAAGCAAGCCAGTAAACAGTGCTCCAGCTTCTGCCTCCAGGTTCCTGCCCTGAGTTCCTACCCTGGGCTCCCTGATGAACTGTGACCTGGGAGATGTAAGCTGAATACATCCTTTCCTCCCCAAGTTGATATTAGTCAGAGTGTTATAGCAATCGAAGGCAGACGAGAACAATTAGGAAGCAGGGACAGAGGAAACTCAGCTGCTGGGTGAAGGCCCAGCTCTGCAGGGTGGGTTTTACCCTCTTTAGTTGGTCTTGGTTACTAGATCCTGGTCCCAGGGAGCCCTTCTCCCTTACCTGCCAGCTCACTCCTCACACTGGTGATGGAACTGAAGCAGGGGCCTGAAGGAAGCAGTGCCCATGACTGCCAGGACTACTCCCCTGTGGACTTTACCTATGTGGTGGCAGATCCAGATCCAGATGGCACGGACCCTTTCCAGATCGCTGTGGGCCTCCTGGAGCAGGTCACTCACCAGCTCGTCCAGGCCATTCTTGACTGTCACCTGGTGAGCAGAGAGAGCAGGTTGCATCAGGGCCTGGAGGAGGGTAGGAGCCGAGCACCTGCCACTTGTGGCCAGTGCCGCTCTTCCTTCAGACAGGAAGCTGGATCAGGGGCACAGTGGGGCAGAGGCTGGCTGAGGGGGAGCTGCATAGAGGTTGGGGAGTCAGTCAGGGCAGCTGAATCCCAGGCCCTAGAACCACCTCAGTTCTTTTCTCAACCTGGGGCCAGTCATTGGACATTTGAGAGGCTGAAGCAGCCTGTGGTCATGGTTAATACTACCCAAAACAATCTGGATTTAACACAATCTTTATAAAAATTCTAATATACACTTGGAAGATGAAATCCATAGGAGAAATATGGCTTGGAATGCACTCTCCTTTTTAAAATTATTTTTAAAACTATTTTTATTTATTATTTTTATTTTATGTGTATGAGTGTACTGCCTGCATGTATGTGAGTGCACCCGTGCCATGCAATGCCATGGATGTCAGAAGAGGGCATCAGATTCTCCTGGACCTGGAGTTAAAGATGGTTCGTAGTTACCATGTGGGTTCTGGGAATTGAACCCGGGTCCTCTGCAAGAGCAGTCAGAGTTAACTGCTGAGCCATCTCTCCAGCCCCTTAAAATTATTTTTAAAATATTTTATTATTTTTATTTTATGTGTATTGCCTGCATGTATGTAAGTGCGCCTGTGCAATGCAATGCCCATGGAAGTTAGAAGAGGGCATCCCTGGAACTGGAGTTACCAGTGGTTGTTAGCCACCATGTGGGTGCTGGGAATTGAAGTCAGTGCATTTTTTTTTTTTTGAGCGAGGCAAAATGTTTTACTTCTACAGAAGGATGTAAAGCTGCTCTAATCCAGCACAAAAGCATGCCCAGCAAATACTCTTCCTGGGTTTTTATTCTTGACACAAAGAGGTCCTGTGCTTCACTCTGACTGGAGAGAGCTCAGCCTCACATTCTTACCTGGTTGGTTAGTTCAACTGATGAGAAAAATGAAGCTTTTGAGAGCAGGATGCAACCTTAAGCTATAAAGGGACTTAGAGAACTGTTGAGCAGTCAGTGCTCTTAACCACTGAGCCATCTCTCTGGTCCCTCCTTTTCATTTCTTAACAATCTCTCTCTGACTTTCATGTGTGTGGGAACCAGATGTCAATGTTGAGTACCTTTCTCAATCACTCTTCACTTGTTTTAGAGGCAGGGTCTCTCACAGAACCTGGCACTCATCAATTCAGCTGGATTGGCTGGTCAGTGAGCTCCATGGATCTGCCTGCCCCTGCGCCCACCCCAGCTCTGGGGTCACAGACAGACACATGCCACTACTCTCAGCTTTTATGTGCGTACGAGGGACCCTCATGCTTGTATAGTGAACAGTTTACTGACTGAGTCATCTCCCTAGTCCAACAATATCCTTTAAGAGACTATTTTTTGCTGTGATGAACTAGCCAATTCTCAGATTCATATTGATGTGTAAGGAGTTCTCCTTAGGCAAAGAAATTTTGAAAAAAAGGAACAAGTGTAAAAGACACACTTCCTAATGTCAAAACTTACCATAAAACTAATCAAAGCAGTTCTGTACTAGCATATGGATCATGTAGAATGGAACAGAGTCCAGAAACAAGCCCATACAGCTATGGTCAATTGATTTTTTTTTTTTTTTGACAAGACAAGACCAAGTCAATTCAGTGGAGGAAAGAATGGTGTTTTTAGCAGATGGTACTGAAACAATTAGATTTCCAAATGCAAAAGAATGATGGTGGGCTTCTCTGCCTCACTCCACATACAAATCCCAGCTGGAAACAGATCAACACTGAGATAAGAGCTTCTATCATAAAACTCCCAGAGGGAGACACTGGGGTAACTCATCATGACCTCGGATTTGTCAGTGGATTCCTAGATATGACACTAAAGACAGGACAACAAAGGAAAAAGCAGGTAAATCAGAGTTGATCAAATTGTTTCTAAGAAGAATCATATCCCTGATAAGTGTTTAACACTCACAAGCTATACAGAACTTCTATTACTCAACAACAAAATACTGACTTTAAAAACAGGCAAAGGACTTAAGAGATGTTTCTTCAAAGAGAAGTATAAATGGTTAATAAACAGAGGAAGAAAGTTCAGCATCATTAATCCACAGAGAAATGTAAATAAAAACCACATACTGAGATGTTCATTAAAATATAAAACCAGAAAGTAACAGGTGTTGACAAGAATGTGGAGAATTTGGACCCCTCATCTATTAGTGGTGGGAATGTAAGATGGTGCTCCACATTTTGGTGTTCCTCCAAAAATTGAACAGAGAATTTCCAAAAGATCAAGCAATTTCACACTGAGGGAATATTTCTGAAGACGGGGGTACAAACAGATGCATGCATCAAGATTCATTGTAGAGCTATTCACAGTAACGTGAAACCACAGAAGTGTCTGTCCGTGGATGACTGCATACACACAATGTGGAACATACACTCAATCATGAAGAGAAGGAATTCAGTTCCTTACACACTATCGCATGTTGCTAAGTGAAATAAGCCAGGCATAAATGACAGGGATTGTGTCACTGCTCGTGAATAAAAAATGGAGAGTAGGTAAGTTCATAGACTGTAAGTAAAGCCTGGGAAGGAGGAATGGGAAATCATTGCTTAATGAGGATAGAGTTTTGTTCAGGATGATGGAAGTACTTTGGAAATGGTGATGCAATGTTGTAATTAATGCCAGTGGCTTGTACTTAAAACCAATTCAGATGGCAACTTTTAGGCCACAATATTTTACCATGATGATGATGATGAGACAGCAACTTAGCCTCTAGAGGCCCTCCAGGGGAACTGGGCTTGGGATTGTTGGGGTGGAAGCATGATGCTGCTCAACTTCCTGGGACCTGGGCAACTGGTGCTCAAGGCCTGTCGTGGTGCCCATGCCCCACCTCCTCCACCCTGAGGATACTCCTGAGTTTGCATTCAACACTCAACCTGGAACACCTGGTTCCAACCTCCAACCACTCCCACCATACTGGGAGGCCCTTTGACCCCTCAGCTCCTGCTCTTCAAGCTGTCTTCTGATCTACTTTCTTCTCTTCCATCTCTAACTCCATGGTTTTTGTCTCTGTTCCTCTCCCAGAGCCTAGAATATCACAGAACACACTGCAGACCCACATTGCAGCCTAGAGTTCTGACTTCAGTCTGAGGCTTTGGTCCTCCAGTACCCTCCTGCCTTCCCCTGGGCCTGACTTGCTCTGGCTTTCGCTGCTCTGTAGTTGGGCTTGTGGTTTCAGCTAGGTTCCTGGCACTGTGCACCGAGTCTGGCCAACAGCCTGCTCCACACCTTCTAGTGACTGTCACCAAATGCCCCACCCTCCTCAGACCCTGGACTGCACCCATCCGTCTCTCTCCTGCTCAGCCATCTCTATTTCAACTTTTGTCCAGATCTCCTACCTCGGCAGGGACAGCCCATCCAGAGTCCTCACTCTACTTGGTTCTTCTCTCTCCTAGTTCTGTCTCATGGGTCCTCACCCCTCATTTCCTGGCCACTCTGTGCTCTCCTGCTCTCACCTTAAAATAGTCTCCCACTTCTTCCTCAGTCTGACAAGAAGTTCCCTTTCTTTGCCAGCCTCCAGGAGCTTCTTTCTGAAGTCTGACTGAAGCTCCGGTCATTTAAAAAAGCATTTCATCTCCTATCTGTTCCTCCTACCCCACCGTAGACATGCCCAGTCTTGGAGGCCTGAGGTCACAGCAGTTTACACACTGTAGGAATGAGCACAGCTGTGGTCATGGTAGTTCTAGCCATCTGCATCCATGGTCCTCCTGATCTTTTTCTTTCCTCAGAGGCTGGATGCTGGCAGTACTCAGCAGCAGTGATACCCAGAGTAGGGGACAGGGCAGTGAGGGCTATCTCGGTGGCTCTAGGGTATGCAGCTTATGGTGGGAGCATCACAGGGGGCAGGGATGAAATGGCCTTCAGTCCTGGGTAGTGGTCTTCTGCCTCGGGCCTTCTGTTCTCTGTTCATACTGTTGAGTTTAAATGTGAAATGTCTCCAATAGGTCCATGTAGCTAAACATTTAGTTCTTAGCTGGTAGTGCTGTTTAAAAATGTTTTTTTGACTTATTTAGTTTTATTTTACGTGTTTGAATGTTTTACTTGCATGTGTGTCAGTGCACCGATGTCATGCAGTGCCCACACAGGCCAGAAGACGGTGTCAAATTCCCTGGAACTGGAGTTGCAGATGGTTGTTAGCCTCCATGTAGGTCCTGGGAATTGAACTCGGGTCCTCTGGAAGAGCAGCCAGTGCTCTTAGCTACTGAGCCATCTCTCCAGCTCCTAGTAATGCTGTTTTAGAAGGTTGTGGAACCTTTAGGAGGTAGATCCTTGCTGGAGGAAGTAGGTCACTAGGGGACAGGCCTTGAGGTTTTGTAGCTCAGCTCTATTTCCTGTCTGTTCTCTGCTTCCTGACTGGGGATGCAGTGTGACCAGCCACCTTCTGTTCCTCCTGCATGTCCTTCCTACCAGGTGGGCTGTATTCCTGTAAACTGTAAGCCCACATAAAAACCCTTCCTCCCTGAGCTTGCTTCTTCTCAGGTGTTTGGTCACAGCCACAAGGAAAGTAACTAATACATGCACACTGTGAGAGGGCAATTTGGGCCATTCATCTGGGTGACTCAGGATATGTTCAGGAGGGGTCTGGAGGTAGGTTTTGCTACCCTGATTTGGGGAACTCCTAGTCACCATTGGGGGGCCCTTGGTCAGGGTGGCCAGTTCTCCTACCTGTGAAGCATAGGCATCCAGTTTTTTGAACTGCTCCAGATCCAGAGGCATGGATTTCAAGCTGGACCTGTCCCAGGGGTAGGCTGGAAACACAGGGAAGCTAAGTCATCAGGGAGACCCATTAAGGAGGACTGCTTAGCCCAAGCCTCATTATCTCTTCAACGTTCCATGACTACTCAACTTTAACACGATTCCCAGATCCAGAAACACTCATTCCAGGAGCTGAACTTCCTAGAAGGGTTTTTTTTTTTTTTTTTTGGCCAAAGTAGTTTGGGAACTATGACAACTCTTACAGTGCTCTTGGAGAGCCACAGGGAATTTGAATCTATTTTACAAACTGTGGAGGGACAGCATTAAAGAAACTACCTTAAACTTGGCTAATCCAGCAGTGCCCAGACAAATTAGTGATAGAATTCTCTTCTCCCTGAAATTTAGCGGGTTTTTTTTTTTTTGGTTAGCTTTTTTAAGGATTCGGTAGGAAGTATCTAGGCAGTATTTCTGGCCCCTGACATAATCAGTAGGGTCCCATGGCCATGTGCTTGATGTAAGGTGCCTCAGAGCATGCTACGTTAAGAAAGCCTGGCAGGCAATGTCCTGTGTGTACCCAGGTATTCCCCAAGTAGCAGTTAACTGGAGACCCCCTACAGTGATGATGAAATAGCATCTCTGCTAAAGTGAACCATCCTCACCTTAGGAAGTAGAGCCTGTTTATTGTCCCTATGGGCCCATTCCAATAAAGTGCCTGATATCTAAGAGGGATGAAATATAGGAAGCCTATGCCAGGAGGGCCTGTTTATGTTTGATAACATGGCACTGATACGGATTTCTGGCATGAGCCAAGATGGCTAACACTAGACATACAGAGGGCTCTGAGTCAGCACAAAATGACTGATACCGGATGTCCAGAGACCCCTAAAGTGAGCAGTGATGTAATCTGTTATATAATTAATTTGGGCAAGAAGTTACCTTCGTGTAATTTCCTATAAAGAGTCCTTGGAACCAAGGGCACATGCATTTTTGCCCAGTGTGTGCCTGCCTAGTGGCCTGTGTGCCCTTGCCCAGAGAAAATAAAGCATGCTTCATTTGAAAATAAAGAAGAAAGGATGGTAGGGCTGGCCTTCTAGGTACCACAGGAGACCTTCCGTGGGAGCCTGGACCTTGAGTCAAACCACAGAGGTAGAAATGAAGAAAGAAAACTGAAGACTGATATTGGTTTGGAGCCAACATCCACCCAGGCTTCCCCATTGGGTATGGGAGTGGATACGGAGACCCAGTCAATGCTGGAAGGTGCGTCTAAAATTCAAGAGGCCATTGTCCTGGCTCCTGTGTACCCTGGAGTTGGTGCTGGGGTGTCTTAATAACTTTGATGACCATCAACCCAGTCTGTATGGTCCAAAGGCAGCTGCACTCCAGCCACCATGTCAGAATGAGGATGTACTGGTAGAGTCGTGCTTGGCCTCTCATTTCAGAATGGCTCTCACCACTGTCTGACAGGAGCCTTCAGGGTGAGAAGTGATTATAAAGTAGACTTCCACATCAAACCATCTTCCACTCAGTTTAGCTCTTTCCATTAGAGGTGGGATGGCATTTCTAAAGTGGGGTTAAAACCTCTATTTTATTAGTTCCTACTTTCCTTAGTTCCATTTTACAGTATTTGATATTTTGTATTAAACTACTCACAATGATTTATGCCTCATTAAATATACCTCCTGAGCAGATTATATAACATCCAAATACGATTTTGTATAAATACACTTAAAACACCACTAGCATTGACTTATCTGTTCTAATTTTAAAGAAAAAAATAGGAAGACATCCCAAGCTGCATGGAGACTTAGCATCTGGCCTACCAAGGGGGAAACTGAGGCCTGGAAAATACAAGGCCAGAGAAAAGCAGAACCCCAGCCCACACCATCTCTCACCCCTTCTGTGTTTCATCTGCCTTAGCTTGCTAGTCATGTGTTCCCTACCCTATAGACATTTGCCACTCTGTTTTTATTACTTATGTACTTGTATTTTTTTATTATTATTATTATTTGTAGTATTGGGGATTGAACTCAGAGCCTTGTACTTGCGAAGCAAGCATTCTACCACTGAGTTACTCTTCAAGTCTTCCATTTAATGTTAACTTTTTTTTCCTTTTTGAGACAGTCTTTATAGGTGACCTTGAACATTGAATTTTCTCCCTCTAACTGTTAAGTGCACCACCATACCCAATTTATCTGGTGCTGAGGGTTGAACCCAGGGTTTTCATGCATGCTAGGTAGGCACTGTACCAATTGAGTTACACCACCAGTCCCAAGTTAACATCACTGTGCATTCTGATTTTAGTGTTTCCCATGGTGGATTGCTCTGTAATCAGAGAGGGTTAATCTTAGTCGTGAAACAGCATCTGACATATGAGCTTCTCCTTCTTCACTTGTGTCCATGATAGACATTGCTAATCAATTATTACATTCTTTTCTTCACACCCACAGTTCTCTCCACGCTCTCTGTGTCCCAGAAAGCCAATGCCAATTGACTGGAGAATGTCCATGAACTAACTCAATTCTTTCCTGAGAGTGGCCCAGAAGGTCTGGGACTTACCATGGGCGTCTTTCCCTCCAGGCTGCCGGGGTCTTGTGTTTCCATTTTTGTCACCTTGTAAACCTACAATGTCCCAAAGGTCAGATAGAGACAATTCAGAAGAAACAGAAAAGTACGCACTGAGGATATCCGAGGCAGCAGTCCTTCCTGCTGATCCCCTTCATTTGACCTCACAACTCCTTGCTCCCATCCCCACCTGCCACTGCCTTGCTGCAAGAATGTCCGTGAAGAGTCTGGTGGGGCAGAGGGGAGACCCGCAACAGGGAAAGAATGACAGGAAGGGAGCTGTGGTCTTCCAGCAGAGCCAGAACATGCGCCAATCTCAGTGCTCTGTACTCTGCAACAGGCTCATCCGGAGCGTGGAGTCTACCCTGCCTCTGTATTCTCATGCCATCTTGGAACATAACGGAGGATGCTGAACGTACCAGCCAATTCCTTCCAGATCACCCCAGGACAAGAACTGACCATGGGTAAAAATGAAAATAGAGGCACAGAAAATTGCCTTCTAGGAGGTCATGTGGTTCTCAAAGAGTTGCTGAAAGCTGTGAATTCAGGGAGATTAAGGTGGAATGGCGGCCAACAGTCATTAGAGCCCATGGGCCAGAAGCCAAGGAGCTTTTCCTACTGATCTGAAGCCAGGTCAGGAAGGTGTGGGTCTCTAATGGAATCACGTGCTGTTGGGGGTGGGCATGCCAAAGCAGGTGGTTTGTGCCCCAAGAAGCCACTTGTGCTATAAATACAGCTGGAAGTTGCAAAGGTGCTTACCCCTCCTAGAAACAAGCCCTTCTGCGTCTCCCATCTCTTTTGTTTCCATTTATATCTTCAGATGGAAGGATGGGGCTGAGGGCAGCTAGCACTCATTGGGAACCTGCCTAGCCTGGACTTTATTTTCACTACTTTAGACAACATCACAATAATCCTGCAAGGGCGTTTTACTTATTTTCCTTTTTTTTATATGAAGAAACTGAATCCAAAAGACAAGTTAAATGAAACCAGACAGTGGACCTAGAGCCACAGGACCTAGATGCCTTCCTGGGGTCCTGACTGCCAAGGACTGTAGAACTGGACAGTCTCAGAGGACTCTTGTCCATTGAGTAGACATGGGGAGGACTTGTACCTAGCTCCTTGCAGCCTTACCGCCTTGGCCTGCTCTCCTCATGAGGCCTCTGTTTAGCAAAGAGGCAGGCACATGTTGAGTGAAGGTGGATTAGGGCCATCATGGTCTTTCCTGCCCACATGTACTGACAGTAGCTGACTAGTATGGCTAAGACCACGGGCTTCAGAGTTGGACCTAGGTTTGGATGAGCCTGTTGGCTGGGCAACTTGGACAGTTCCTTCACCTTTCTGAGCCTCACTTTGCTGACCTGAGAAACTTCATATGTGTAAAAATCATAAAGTTAAAGTATGGGAAGGCCTTAGTACAGTGCATACCACATTTTTGGCAGTCCACAGATGGTATCTCAAAACACCAGCAACAATAATCTTGTGAGGAAATTCAATGATAGCTACCTGCTTTGTGTTACCCAGACCTAATTCCAGAGACACAAGGGCAGGGGAAGCTGGGTGCTGTGATTTGAACGTGAAATGTTCCCCATAAACATATATTTGGACACCTGGTCCTCAGATAATGCTACTGTTTTGGAAAGTTGTGGAACCTTTAGATGGTGAAGCCTCTCTGGAGGAAGTGGGTCACTGGGTGGGGGCAGGTTTTAAGTCTTGATAGCCTGGTTCCACTTCCTGCTTTCTACTTCCTGTTCCACAACGATGTGAGGATGGGAGGGGTTCCAAACGCACACTCCCCACCACAGTACCACCTGCCATGCCTTTCTTTACATGATGGACTGTATCCCCTCAAAGTACGAGCCAAAATAAGCCTTTCCTCCCTTAAGTTGTTTCTTGTTGGGCATTTGGTCACAGCAGTGAGGAAAGTCATTAAGACAATTGGGGTGAAGGGAACAGTCATGTCTCTCACATTTCCCAGTTTGTAGATTTCAGGCGCCGACTCCCTCAGAAAACACTCAGGCTGGAATCTGATTCACCCAACTGCCCTCCATCCTCCCTAACAGCCCTCTACCATGAGCAGGTCTGTACGTACGTACGTTTAGCCAAAGAGAACTTCTTAAGCAGCTGGGGCACGGCGTCTCGGGGGTGGACTTCCACAGTCAGCTGTGTACCTGCAAAGGAGGAGGTGACATCCTCAGCCAAATGCTTCCAGGAGGGGTACACTACTCCATTACGGATGTTCGGCCATCAAAACACAATGTTTTAGAGCTTTCCTTTGGATATATGAATAATTTTTTTTTAAACTCAAGCAACAAACCAAGTCATTTCTGGATCTGGAAAAGATAGAATAAGCACTCGCTACCTTATCTCGCCCATCTAATACAACTATCACACCAGACAGAATGCGTAAAACCCTCTGTGGACTCTGGGAAGTCAGTGATAGAAAAGGGGGAGAAGGAAGACCAGGATGTATGAGACATTCCGAAATGGACACTGAGTTCACTGTTCTCCATCTAGCATAACTTAGACTTGGCTCAAAGGCCTCCCCAAGTCTAGAACTGCGCAATGGATATGGAGGCGCACGCAAGAGAAACCTTCAATTTGCTCTTGAAGAGTGAGGGTGGGGACCCTAAGACGCATAGGCCTCCCCAAGTCTAGAACTGCGCAATGGATATGGAGGGGCACGCAAGAGAAACCTATTTGCTCTTGAAGAGTGAGGGTGGGGACCCTAAGACGCATAGGGAGTGGAGACACCCTTCTTGCTGTGTGTTCCCTTCATCCTGTAGTTTCTTGACTCAGCCCCATGGAATTATGTTGGCAATCATGTTAGTGGGCACAGTCTCTCTGTCTCTCTGTTTCTCTCCACCCGCCCCCGCCCCGCAACGCTGATTGGTCCCAAATTCAGACGCAGTTGAAGGAAATAATGCCACAGTGAGGAAGGCAAAGCTCTAGGTTTTGGCCAGAGGAGCTGGAAGTGGGTCAGGAAGGGATTTTAAGGGACCAATTCCATAAAGTTGTAGATAAGCTACCAACGATCACCTCTGAGCTGTGCATCACAGATCTCACTGTAAGCATCACAGTCCAAGTATAAGACGGGAAGATCAGTGTTCCTGCTCAGGACTGGCCACCGGGTGGTGCACGTGCAAGGCAGGCAGCTCTGCAAAGGCTACCATCCAAAATTACTCAGCAGAACTCCAGAAAATGTCATTTGAAAAGGGAAAGATACCAACCGATGTCAGTCCATGATGACCCACCTTGGATTCAGACAAGGACTTTCAAATGATATGATAGCCATGCTCCAAAAAGTAAGAGCAAACAATTTTGAAATAAACAGAAAGATATGAAGAATCAGTGAAGTGAAGATTTTTAGCACTGAAACAGAAAACAACTCAAAACATTCTCTGTGAGAGAAGAAAGAGCTAAAGAACTCGACGACAGAGCAACAGAGTCCAATTTGGAGAACTGGAGAAAGTGAATGCCTCTAGATTTATAGGACAACAGCTAAAAGTCTAACATTCTTGTCACTGAAATCTCAGGTGGAGAAAAGGGCTCATATGGACAGAGAAGTATCTGAAGGAAATAAACTACCAAGATTTGGTAAAAGTCATAAATTTATGAAATCTAGCTTAGTGAATCCCAAACAGGATAAACAAAAGAAGATTCAAGTCTAGACAAGTTATAATCATACTACAGAGGGCAGAAAACCTGGAAAAAGAGACAAGGATGTGTAGGATTCTGATTTCTCTTCAGAAACTGTACCAGAACTATGTGCAGTCTTTCAAAAATTCTGAAAAATATGAGCTGTCAACATAAAAGTCTCTGTCCAATAAAATATCATTTGAGAATGAACTAAAGACATTTTCAGGGGACTGGAGAGATGGCCTGGTGGTTAAGAGCGCTAGCTCCTCTTGCAGAGGACCTGGGTTTGATTCCCTAGCACCCACATGGAAGCTTACAACTGTCCCCCATAACTCCAGTTCTAGGGGATTCAATCCTCTTCTGATCTCCACAGGAACTGCACAACGTGGGTGCACTTACATACATGTAGACAATACACTCATACACATAAAAAAAGAATAAAGACATTTTCAGATACATTAAAACCAAGAATTGCTAAACAACAGACCGCTAAGGAGAAAGGAAAATGTCAGAGACAGAGAAATGTTATAAATATAGTAAAAAAGAGTCAATGTACCAAGAAGATATGATGTTAAATATATATTCACCTGACAATGAAGTTTTAAAATAAATATGCATTATGGTTGGAGATTTTAATACTCACCTGTCAGTAATTAATAGAATTAAGGAAAAGAAAATCAGCAAATATATAAAAGTATTAACACCATCACCTAACAGGACTTATTTGATGCTTATAGAACATTTCACCCAATGATAGCAAAATACACATTCAATTCAAGTGTCCATAGACTATTAACTAAGATGCACTGTATTTGGGGTCATAAAGTTTAGAAAGGTTAGAAGGCCTAAAATGATAAGGTCTTATTCTCTGATCATACTGGAATTAAACTAGAAGTTAAAAACAGAAAGTAACTAAAAAATCTCCAAGCATTTGAAAATTAAGCGACGTACCTCCATATAATCATTCCAAAGAAGAAATCCCAGAGGGACTTAGAAAACACTTTGAACTCAGTAAAAATGGAAATACAACCTATCAAAATGTGTGCTTTGAGGGAAGTCTACAGCATTAACTTCTTATATCAGAACAAAGACCTTAAGTCACTAATCTAAGCTTCTACTTTAACAAGGCAGGGAAATAACAAAAAATTAAGACCAAGGCAAGCAGAAGGAAGCAAATGATGGAATAAGAATAAATCAGTGAAATTAACAGTATCACCAATGCCAGACATGGTGGCGCACGCCTTTAATCCCAGCACTTGGGAGGCAGAGGCAGGATCCCTGGGAGATTGAGGCCAGCCTTATCTATATATTGAATCCCAGGCTAGTTGAAGCTACAGGGAGACCCTGTCTCTAAAAAAAGCAAGCAAGCAAACAAACAAACAAAAAACCCCAACCAACCAAATAAACAATCAGGGACTACAAAGATGGCTCAGCAGTTAAAAGCATTTGCTGCTTTTGCAGAGGACCTAGGTTCATTTCCCAGCATTCACATGGCAGCTAACAACCATCTATAACTCCAGTTCAAGGAAATTCAACTCCCTCTTCTGACCTCCATAGGCACTGCAAACAGAGTGCATATACATGCAGGCAAAATACTCATATATCAAGACCCATATACATTAAAGTAAAAAGGAATACTATTAAAAGCTCTGGGCACCCAAATTCTGCAACTTGAATGAAAAGGACCGATTTCTTGAAAGTCGAGCTATACCAAAGATTCATTTAAGAAATAAGTAATTTATTGCTGGGCGTGGTGGCACATGCCTTTAATTCCAGTCTTGGGAGGCAGAGGCAGGTGGATCTCTATGAGTTCAAGGCCAGCCTGGTCTACATAGCAAGTTCCAAGCCAGCTGGGACTACAGGGAGACCCTGTCTCAAAAATACCAAAAAAAGGAAACCTAAGCATTCCTGTATCTTTTTAAAAATTAAACTTGTTTGAAACCTTCCAAACAAACAAAGACCCAGATAGTTTTACTTGTAAATTTTAACAGATATTTACAAAGGAATAACAATTCTTTACTACAGCATTAGGAAAATAGAAACAGCAAACACTTCTTAAGTTGTTTTCTGAAACCAGCATTAACTTTGAGAGAACTAAACAGAGATGGCATCAGAGAAGCATGTTACAGACCTATACCCCTTGTAAAGATAAACACAGAAATCCTCAACAAAGAATTAGAAAATTAAATCCAACAGCATAAGAGAAGAATAATGAATTAGAAGCAAGTGTGACTTCATTTGGGAATGCAACACTGCTTTACTATCTGAAAATTAATAAATATAATTCACTG